TTTATTCCAAAGACAGTACTTGTGATACATAATGGAATTTTCAGTATTAATCACAATATTGCATCTAATTTCCTCAAATTATAAATAAAAATTAATCACACAGAAAATTTTCCACATTTACAATAGGGGTAATGTCAAGATCATCCAGAATATAAAATGGAAATAAGAATAACAGTGATAACAGCTAAGGTAATCATAATAATAATAATACAAAGGAGAATTGCCGTGGGTTTGTTTCACACAGTATTGTCAATGCGGTATAGAAATCCTAGCATGTTTAAAAATATTGAATATAATGTTCTCTTTAGATGATATGGTGAGGGGAAAAACAAGGATAACAGCAGTCATAGAGATAAGTTGGTGTTTGAAATTATGAGAGTAAAACAAACAAAGAAGCAACAGGACCATAAATATAATAGAAATAATAAAAGTAAAACTTGAAGGTATATAAGGATGAATGGAGGAAATTGTTTATTTACTAGATGAAAAAAAGGTTAGTTAATTCTTGTCTGACACTATTTTCATCACATAAAATACATGCCAAGTATGGTATCATAGAATCTTTATACTCAGACGTGCGAGCATACAGTTTTCTGAAGTTACTTCTTGTTCTAGCTGAGGAGATGCAAGGTGAAAGCTGAGCGTAAAGTGAATGCTCCAAGTCAGACAAAATCCTTCTAGATGCTCATTATATGAACATTTAAATTTGTTTCCTGTAGTTGGTTTGTAAGGATTAGTTTTGTTTTTTTAATGAGTTCATCACGGATTGATATCAGTGAGTGCTTACTGCTGATGGTTCCCAAGCACCAGGATGAAACAGCCAGCTGTCCAGTACTTCCTGCTTGTTTTTAGTGGTGCTCTTACTGATATCAATCCATGATCAACTCGTAAAAACAAAATTAATCCTTGCAAACCGACCATAAAAAAATTAATCTAATGTTATCTAGTGACTGGCTACAGGATGGAGTTTCCTGGAGTCCTAACGAGAAGTCTTGACCAGTGAGGTCAATCCAGATGTCATGTGTGAGGATGGATGTGTCCACCGACGACATTGGTTGGCGCCAGTTGCGCCAAATCACGAATTGATAGAAGTAAGAATTCATGAGCTGGTCATTGACTCGAGTCCCAGTGGCTGAGTGGTGTGCGGGCTTGTCTTGTGATCGGAATGTTGTGGGTTCAAACCCCGGTGGTGGAAGCGCACTGCCGATGATTCTCAAACTAGCTGTCGCTAATTCCAAAGTTCATTCATGTGCTAAGGCTAGTAACCAATATCATGCGTGCATACTGAATTTTATCAGTCATGTTTTCGATTTGGTCATAATGCTAGGTGACTCGCCATCTCGATGACTCTGAATAGATGTTAGATGACTGGAGGCAGTAGTTAGGAATCCCTCGATGCTTGGTTTCCGTACCTGTTGTAGCACTTGTCAGCATTACAGTCCTACAAGGCGTCAATCACGAGGCCAAATAGTTCATTGGTAACGTCTCCGACTGCAGCAGTCACTGGTTGACGCTGGGTTGAATCTTAGAGAGGCAGTGAGTTCGTGTAAAATTGCTGACTTGTGAGTACCAACAACTGCGATGTCTAGGTTAAGCACAGCTTTCTCCTGTTTGTCTCCGATTTTCGAATATGTGCTAAGAGTTTATCAAGTGGGCCCAACGTTAAGATGTTTTTTTCTCGTGAATTACCCTACACCGGTTGTCGATGAATTAGTGCATCACTCATTGTTTTGCGGAAAATGAATACGTGTGTTACGCAATAGTTAGAAGAATCGTTCTTGTATATATATTCCATTATATGCTTCATTTTATATCAAAACAGCAATGACAACTATTCAATCAATCAATACACAACAAATATAACATATAAGAGATAATACCTAATCGATAATATCGATATCTTCCATTGATGTTCATCTGACTATGATCAATTCCATATTTTATAAAAGTTTTTGAGTGCTGTGAACGAATAATGATTTTCTGGACTTCAGTTAAATGAATAACAATACACTAGACATGCGTATTTCTTGCATTGCCAACTACCATACCTCACATGGTCCATCGTTCAGTTTCCAGTCACTGACACACTTCTAAACCTCCCTCAGACGGTTGAAAAGTTACGGTTGAGCGCATGTCTACCAACCTCATCGCTTGATAAACAGTAAAAAAGACAACACAGCTATGGACACTCCAAAGCTTAAGCTTGAAGAAGCCCTACGTTCCACTCCGCTAAATACAAAGTCACAAAATGTAAAAATGACATGATATTATCTAAATTGTGGTAGTCATTGTGATGATTACATTGAAAAAGTACTATTCCATATTGGTTTGTTTACCAGATGTATCACACAGTCAGAGTATAGTATTATTTACTGGATGACGTTTCGAACAAAATTTATTGCTCTTCATAATCATATAAATTATAATCACACAACTTCAAAACTTCAGTTTTATAGTTTTATTTGTCCTCTCCTATTTGTCGTATTTGGGGTAGTAGAATTTTCCAGATGTCCGACTGAACAGTTGTTGAATCATTCCTATTACACGTGTTTGCAGTTGATTCGACAAACACAACTTCCATTAGCAATCTCTCCCTCCACCCTGTTGTTACATTAGATTTTAAAACTGTCATCTTATCCCATCATCCTATATTTTATGGTTGTGTGTAGTTTCATGTGGCGAGTGTTATGGTTGAACTATTCTCTAGATTTCTTATCTTATTCGGTTCAATTAATTCAGATTTTGCTAGGTTTTTATGTTCGGCTAGTCTGACTGTCCCTGTTCTACTACTATGACCTATGTATTTGACCTGACAATCATTCCAGCAGGGCATTAGATAAACTAAGTGGCTCTGTCTTATTGGCTCCACAGGATCTTTTAACCGACAATGAAATCCTGTAACCTATCATGTAAATCAATAGTATGTTAATAACTGTTCGTTATCATCACACCTGGTGTTCGAACACGTCTTTTCATCGTAATCGAAATCCTGGGGAAATGTAGAGATGAAGAAGGTAATAATCATTTAGTGATACTGTTTGACATAAATTTAATCTGGAGGGAAAAAGGGTTCCAAGTACGGCCACAGATTGATTTGTTAGAGAACCATTAAAAATCGTCAGGGAGTAGTGGACAAATGTTTCGTCCTGGTTTGCTATTCTTCATCAGTATGCACCTAAAATCCTATTGGGTAGCGAACACAGAACCTTCAGGTTATGAGGCGGGTTCGTTGACGTTAAATTCCCTGTCACTAACCGATTGGTCAGAGAGCTCACCTCGTAACCAGAATTTCTTGGGTCTGATCCCCTATGGTGTCATGCATGCATAATGCTGAAGAGTCATAAGCTGGGAAGAAACAATTTACGTCTCATGCTCTTTGCTTCTCAATAGTGCTTTAACTGATGTCAAACTTGAAACGAGTCATTAAATCTCTGCAAACCAACACCTGAAAAATGAGTTTATCTAATGAGTTTTTTTTTGATTTACTGCTGAATTGGCACAGAAACCACCCACTTGTTTGAACCCTGTTACCAACTTTTACCAAGTTTTGTTTCACAGTGTTACTTTGTCGAATCGTTATCGTTATCGATATTTATGTGTTGAATGATATTCGCAAAGAATAGCGAAACTAAGTATTCGACTAGTTTTTCTTCTATCAAATTTTATTTTACTGTGGTTAGACAATCATTTGAAACGAGGGAGTAATAGATATTTTATTTTTATTTATTTTTTTATTTTATTTTTGGTTTACAGCTTGATTCCACACTGTATTTTCGGTACAAGTATGGAATTTTCAGCATGGATATCGGTAGCCAAATTATGCAGGCCGATCATAGATATCAGATGTTCACCGGCGTGGGCTCGAACCCCGGACCATGTGCATGGTCGGCGAGAGTCCTAACCACTGTGCCACCGACGCACATTTTGACCTAGTTTGAGAATCTTAATCGGTACTCACCTACCAGCCTTTGAATCTAGAACATCTTCCGGTTGATGGTTAGCCCGTAGACTATTCAGTCACTGAGAACCGATGCCGTGGCCAGTCCATGAATTTCGATTTCTACGCAACCACTAATCAGTAGCATAGGTGAGTAATGGTTTTCAGCGAAGACAGGATTTCAAGTGAACACAAAGAAGACGGAGGTAATGAAGATACCCAAGCACCAACAAAAACCACCGCCAAGAGGTCATTTCGTTCACCTGTTTAGGAAGCATCGTTTCACCTAAAGACAACAGAATGGATGAGGATGTCAATCTGAAATCTCTTTGGAAATCTTATGAACTCAGCACAAAGAACAAGATTTAAATTTTTAACACCAATGTTAAATCCGTCAGTTCTTCTATAAGGGTTAGAAACTTGGTGTGGCCGTCACGAAAAATATTATCAGTAGGCTACGACAGACGGTATTTTTTTACTATAGCTTGATTCCATACCGTATTTTTGGTGCAAGTATGGAATTTTCAGTATGTGATATCGTTAGCCCAAATTTTTCAGGTCATCCATTGATATCAAGTCTGTGTCGATAGGGGATCGTATCCCGGACCATTTTCATGGTTGGCGAGAGTTCCAGCCGCTGTGCCACCGACACACAACTGTTGCCTTCGCCTCTTACTGAAGATCACATAGCTAGTGAAAAGAATTGACAACAAGAAACTAAGGGAATAAACCAACAGGTGAGAGCCGATCACTCAACAAATATGTGAACGCGAAAACGGAGATGGATTGGGCACATATTGAGGAGACCATCAAATGGGGTAAGCCACCGCTTAAGTGTAAGGTGGGTGGTAAACGATGAGTGGAGCTTTCGAGGATAACAATGAGAGGAGGTCATAGACGATGGACGATTGTGAGGTAAGCCGTATGTCCGACTCGGTACCCAAGGGAATTATAATTAGTTTGCAGAGATTTCAGTGTTTTTTTTATTCTTAATTGATTCACTATTCATTATTTGTGTTATGTGTTTTTAAAATATTCTTTCCCAGACGTTTATTCAATTCAGGCGAACGAACAACAATACTAGATGGATTATATTATTGTATGCCGTGCTCCACAAATCTAACCAATGGTGGTGGTGGTGGTAGTTTAGCACATACTAGTAATACTATTGGACGAGGAGGAGCAAGTGGAACTAGCATTGTTGCTGCTTCTGTTACTCCTGGTACTGGTACAACAAATGGTATTGATTCAGAAGCTAACGTCAACAACATCAGCGCAAACAACACCAACAACAACAGATCGTCCTCTTCTTCTTCATCATCTCGATCCCATCACCATGTCTCACATCATCACCATCGAAAGGCAGTCGTTTCAATCCATTATCTTTATTATCATCTAGTCGTCATTCGCATACAATGCCGTCGATAAAAACATCTACATCATCACCGTCACATAATATAAATAATAATAATAACAATAACAATAATAATAATAGTAATACTATTGACAATCATTATTCGCCTTATTCACATCAAAAACAATCGAAACGTTTTATAGCTAATAATAATGTTAATGGTAATAATAATAATACTAATCTTAAGTCATTCACATCTCTTAATGATCAGTTAAGTGTACAAATTCATGAAAATGGCGGTTCAAGTAAGTCCTTCCTATGTTTATATTTACATACATATAAGTTTAGTGTATTTCATAGTGTAATATTATTATTATATTATTATTTCCTTTAATTCCTAGAGGAACATAGGCCTTCAGCCCAACCGTCTCCATTGCGTTCGGTTCTCTGCTAACGTTTCCACCTGGCTTCAAGTCTGCCCAAATCATTTCATCTCCTCCTCATATTACCTCCTCCAAATCACCCTCACCCTGGCGACCAACTTGGCGCTTCCCTTTTGGGTTCCACTCAAGCAATGGCTTGTCTAGTGATGTCACTTGGTGGCTTGTCTTCTCAGAGTATGCCCAATCCATCTCCATTTCTTCCTGCCTATTTGTTTCACAATCGGTTCCTGTTGGGTTGGTTCACTCCCAGAAATGCATCCCTGTTGCTGATCTTTTCTGGCCATCTGGTCTTGAGTAGTATTGAGCGAAGACAACTGCTGATGAAGGTCTCTAGTTTGTTTGAGGTGCTCTTTATGACGCGCCAAGTCTCTGATCCACATAGTAAGTAGCACTGACTTCACATTGGAGTTGAAAATCCAGATCTTATTTCCATTTTCATGCTGAGTGCTGTTGATCTCCACACAGACTTGAGAGTAATGAAAGCTTATCTTGCTTTTCTGATTCTCGCTTTGATAGCCTCGTCAGTTCCGCCTGTAGTTGAAATGATGCTTCCCAGGTAGGTAGGTAGGTGAAGGAGGTTGCTTCTTTCAGATTCCTCCCACTTATGATGACTGTTGTCTGTTGTTGTTGCTGTTTGTGTTGGCCAGTAATCTTCATCACCTCTGTTTTCTCTATGTTCACTTGAAGTCCTATCTTCTCTAGTTGCTTCTTCTGCCAACTTGTTGCTTTTCACTTGCATATCTTCCAGTTTTTGGGAAATCAGACATTTATCATCACGGGCGAAGTCCAGATCCTCCAGGTTTTTTGTGTGAGTCCATTTTATGCCTGTTTCATCATTGTCCGTTGTCTGTCGCATTATCCGATCTACTGCAATCAGAAAAATCATTGGCTTTCGTCCTCACTTCGAAGGATTCCGTAAGTTTCACGTTGTGGATTACTTGTCATGCAGCATTGTCGTACAATTGTTGGATGAGATGCATAATTGTCGGTGGCACTCCGTAGTAGCGAAGTAGTTGCCAAATCATCTCTCAGTCGACGCTTTAGACGGCTTTTTCAAAGCCAATGAAGTTGAGATAGAGAGGTGACTGCCATTCTAAGATTGTTCAATGATAATCTATAGTGTGGCGATTTGATCAATACATTACTTATGTCTCCTGAATCCAGCTTGTTTCAGTCAAAGGTTTTCATCCAGCGTGGCTTGTTTGATTCTCTCCAGGATGATGTGGCTTAGTAATTTACTCCGGTCATTCAGATGACAACGTCGAGTATATTGAGAAATGGTTATCAATACATCACCTACAGTAAACAAAGCCCGTATGCAAAAACTAAATCAGGCTTCAAATGTTTGTCAGCAGCCGCCCCAAACTCTGGTTCCAAGTGGAAGATCAAATGGCCAGTCCAGAGAGAATTAGAAACAAGAGACTACGGGAAGGAACCTATTAGTCAACAAACACATTCCGAAAGGAAATACAGATGGATCAGAAATGCTCTGAGGAGACCCTTAGGTGACATTACGCATCAAGTCATCGCTCGAGTGTAACCCGAATAGGGAACGACGATTTCCAAGTGTGTTGGGGGTCACATAGAGGAGATCATATGACGAAGAGGAGGAGGAGGAGATGAGAAATTATGAGCAATCGTGAGACCAACTAAAGATTATGAGAAAGAACGCAACAAAACGGAGACGTTAGATGGTTAGAGAAAATCGGCCACAGGAAGCCTTAGACACACCTGGGTTTCGTGCTAGTTGGCACTCGTCAGAAAGGCGTATCTGCAAACTCGAAGGAACTCATATCTCTTCTGAGATTCGGACCCTCGTCAGTCAGTGCTGAAGTCACAGACCTTACCACTGAGCTATTCGGCCTCGCAAGTGACCTTCTGTTGACGAGTGTCAGCTAGGACGAAACCTAGGTCCAGGATTTCCTGCTGATTGCCTCCAACCATCTAATATCATCAAATCAATGTGTACCGTGATGGCGAGCTACCTAGTGGCATGTTGACCACATTGCAAAACCTGACTGATAGAATTCCGTCTGCACCAAAGAAAGGACTAGACACATCCAACTAGTTACTAATGTCCAATCAAAATGAAGATGTGCTCTGTTAAAGCTCAATTTTCCAGCGGGGTCCCAAGAGAAACCCAAGCTCAAACGACAGTCAATGACTTGGTGAACCCCACTGGCTATGACTTACAACTAAAATACTAAAACCCCTTTATATTACACTATTGCAAGTGAAAAGCAACAAGTTGGCAGAAGAAGTAACTAGAGAAGATAGGACTTCAAGTGAACATAGAGAAAACAGAGGTGATGAAGATTACTGGCCAACACAAACAGCAACAACAAAACAGACAACAATCACCCAGCATAAGTGGGAGGAATCTGAAAGAAGCAACCTCCTTCACCTACCTACCTACCTGGGAAGCATCATTTCAACTACAGGCGGAACTGACGAGGCTATCAAAGAGAGAATCAGAAAAGCAAGACAAGCTTTCATTACTCTCAAGTCTGTGTGGAGATCAACAGCACTCAGCATGAAAATGGAAATAAGATCTGGATTTTCAACTCCAATGTGAAGTCAGTGCTACTTACTATGTGGATCAGAGACTTGGCGCGTCATAAAGAGCACCTCAAACAAACTAGAGACCTTCATCAGCAGTTGTCTTCGCTCAATACTACTCAAGACCAGATGGCCAGAAAAGATCAGCAACAGGGATGCATTTCTGGGAGTGAACCAACCCAACAGGAACCGATTGTGAAACAAATAGGCAGGAAGAAATGGAGATGGATTGGGCATACTCTGAGAAGACAAGCCACCAAGTGACATCACTAGACAAGCCATTGCTTGAGTGGAACCAAAAGGGAAGCGCCAAGTTGGTCGCCAGGGTGAGGGTGATTTGGAGGAGGTAATATGAGGAGGAGATGAAAGATTTGGGCAGACTTGAAGCCAGGTGGAAACGTTAGCAGAGAACCGAACGCAATGGAGACGGTTGGGCTGAAGGCCTATGCACCTCTAGGAATTGAAGGAAATAATAATAATTAATTACTGGCTCTTCAGTTAACAATGTGAAGCGTCTACATCGGTTCCACTTGCTCCGACAAATTCGTGTTACTTCTACGTCGTATTTTCTCATATCTTTGGCTTGCATGGGCAAACTTCGAAATTCGTTGCAATGCTTTTATTAAAAGAAGACACATCGTCTGACTGACTTCCTGCTGGCTACCACGAGCCCAACCAGGGGTCATGGGTCCAAACACCACTCCGCTCCACCTGTAGAGGTTCATTGAACGATCAGTTAATAGAACTATCACTAACCCTTAAATACACATACACACACACAACAGATGTTGATCAGTCCTAAATGAATGAAAACCCAAGTAACTGTTTATTGTTTTAGACTAGCCGACTCGCCATGTCTCTATTGCAGTTTAAACGAACAAGGAGAGAGAGAGACAGGCAGAAAGAATTGCAGCTGTTGTTGTCTGTAATTGTACGTAATATTTATGCAATAACGATGTGATATTTCTTTCGCATTATGATGAAAACACTCGTTTAAATCAGCATGAATTAGCTAAATGATGATTACATCTGTGTCAGTGATGAAAAGAACTTTGAAAGAAAGAAACAAAACAAGAATTTACATTCCTCTTATGTTTCCTGTTAAAGATTAAAAAAATATTACACAGATGAACCAGTTTCACTGTATACATTGCTTATCTTTAGATTTTCTTTTTGATAAGTTATTCCAAATTATTCATTCCGTTTGTTTTTTCAAAGAAGAAGCATGAATTGCCCTTCGATTTGAATTACGCGCCTTCATCTTTTTTTTCTTAAATTAAAACAAGATAATTTTTTTGCCAGTTAGACAAATTTATTGATTGAATTTTATTTATTTATTCATTTTCCTTTATTTTATTGATTAGTAAGTAATATCATGTTACTGGTAGTGTGTGAATATCTAAATGAACTTTTATTTTCTAGCGATCCATCAATGGGTTGTTGATCAATGATTTCGTTTTGCTTGAAAAAAATATTTTACGCTTTCTATCGTATACATGTTGCAGTGAAGAGAAAAAATACTAATCCATTTTCTAAATGTTTTTGAAAGGTGTGATTGTAATGTGTTTTCTTATTTCGTTTTTGTCTGTTCTGTTACGTAAATATTACAGTTTGAATGACATATTGACAGTGCGCCGCGTTAAGTTCAAGTTTACAATTTTCAATTTACAGTATAGTTCCAAGAGGTGAAATCACAGTATGTGATGTGTTTGATGACAAAATAAACTGTAAATAAGAAAGAAATAGTGCTTGTCAGTAATCTAAATAATGGATGTTTATTTCTGTCGTTTTGAGGTCTAGCTCATTAGCGATTTGGAAATCACAAATTTGACTTAAGGTTTGTCATGAGTGAACACCGAGAAGTCGGAAGTGATGAAGATAACCAATCATCAACAACAACAACAACAATAACAACCAGAACCAATCACCAGCAACGGGAGAGATGATTTGACAGTAGTTGCCGCCTTTAATTATCCACCAAGGAATCATCGTTTCAGATACAGGCGGATAGGAAAAAGATGTCAAAGCCAGCCAGCGAGAATCGGAAAGGCAAGATACGCACTCCTTCATGAACCTGAAACCAGTTTGGAAATCTTCCACTGTCACTGAGCATAAGGAACAAGATTTTTCATTTTCAACACTAATGTCAAGTCAGTCAGTTCGGGTCGGGTCGGGTCAGAAACTTGGTCAGCGTGTCACAAAAAGGATTTCCAACAGCCTTTTGCAGACTTCCATCAACAGCTGACACCTACGCTGACTCCAAAGTGAAGACAGAATGGCCGTCCAGAAAGAATAAGCAACAA